CATTTAAGATTTTACAAAATCCTTTTTCGTCTGTCAAATTGCTCTATCCAGAACTTCTCAAGTGGAAAAACTTTAGTTTCACCTTCTTTTGAGGAACCTTTTGCCATCCGATTACTAAACAGAAAGAAAATCGACTGATTAATCGTTTTCCTAAATATTCTTTAGTTGCAGCCCTACTCCAAAGCTTTCTCTGCAAATTAAAATCATCTCCAATTTAATAAGTGTAATTAGAACATTTTATGTCCAGGTTTTGCATAAAAGCCAGGTACCTCAGAGGTTCCCTGGATTCCCTTAGTACCACCTTGGCTCTGCTCTGACCTTTGATGCTGTAAAACTTTAATAAATGGCCGGCTGGGGAGTGCTCATGGACTTGGAGAAGCATGTTTTGTTTTTTTATGAGCATGACTGCAGTTGTGATCAGCTAATCCCCCTCCCCTCCCCTTCCACAGAAACAATCCCAGAATTCACCTAGCCAGTTAGTGAATTAAAGACAGAAAGCCTCTCAGCAGTTTTTTTTCCAGAAAGGTTTATCCCTCTCAGACTTCCACTCCCAGCACAGAGACGCCTTTTCATTCCTACCCTGTTGGTTTTTCCGAGTGTGCGCCACCAAAGCCTGACATTTCTAAGCTCTTTAAAGTTCACTGTGAGGTCTAAATGGATAAAATGCAAATTTAACGTTAATTTGGCGCTCTACTCCCTTTTCCTACGATGGGAGTATCAGAGATGAGCCTGCATATCGCATCCTCACCGGCCTTGCAAGGATGTTGATAAGAGCAACAGTTGTATTCGTTAAAATAAAAATTATTCTGACTTTTCCTCGCAGATTCCTAAAAATTAAGAAAACTTAAGATATCCCATCTGCTGATGAATCTGTAGCCCCATTATTTGGTTTCTCCATTGTCTGATTCCTGTTTAAAGTCATGCAGTGTTCCATTACTGAAATCAGATTTACTTCTCAGGGTGGCAAAGTCAATGTTTATCCCTTCTGTAAACCACAGTACATTCTGGAGGCCTTGCCAGCAGCAGGCCTTGTTGCTAAGGGACTGTGAGGAAACTTCCACCCCCTCCCCACCCCTCTCTAGCACTCCCTAAACCCCCCCCTCTGAAAATTACCAGAGTGTACGTGCTTGGCCCTCCAGTAAACTTCCCGTCCTGAGTACACAGATATGCTGATATTAGTGGCATCAATTTACTTCTTAGAATTGTCATGCCCATGCAAATGTATACGAGATTGTTATCTGTGATTGCTTTCTGTGTTTGGGTGTTGGTTCACACAGGAAATGGTCCCCTCGGCCACTGGGGACAACACAGACAGGGGGCAGGACTGACATCTGGGACATGTAGAGGCCAAACTGTGGAGCTTGAGGCCAGAAAACGGAGCACTCTGCAGCTCATAATGTTGTATCTGCTGCTCTGTGGTGCTCCGCTATCTGTCCATGAGAATAGTTGCATTCATGCTTGTGGCTAGGAGAAGTTACTTGGGAACTGGCTGATGCAATGCTGGGCAACCCACCCACCCATCCACCCACTTCCAGACACCAGGTGCTTGTGTGCTTTCTTTATTTCAGCAGTTACAGTCGGATGTGTTTTTAATTGCAGGCAGGTTCATGATTGTGAAGAAACCTGTTGTTTTTTCCGTTGCGTAGGTGAATCACAGGTGAAATCAAAGGTGCGCTGACTCACTTCAGGTGTGCCACCTGTTCAAATGTAACAAGCTATATAATGCATACCAGGAGAGGCGAGTCATTCTTTACAGCACCTTAATACTGAAGATAAGTGGAAATGATGTCC